GGAAGGAAGCGGAAAAGGTAGAGAAGCACGAAGAAACAGACGACGACGACGACGACGACGACGACACGACGAGTGGCGCAGGGGAGGGCGAGGGGGAGGCGAAGGCGGTGTGAGAGGGGATGGTGGGTGGCACGGATGAAACATCGAGAGCAAGCGAGATGAACATGGACTCCTGGAAGCTGACCGAACTGGGCGATGCAGGGTTGCTTGCAGCTGCCATACCAGCCTCGGCGTCGGGGTCCTGGATAGCTCCCGTTATTTCTGTCGGGCAGCGTTCAGCGTGATCATCGTGATCTCTCCCCCACCGCCTCCTTCTCTTCCCCATCCTGCCAGGAAGCTGGAAAGACACACGGTTGTATACACACACGCATCTGGAATGCGGGAAAGCAACATGATCGATATGTAGGTTTGTGTCTGTATACCTATAGGTACGGCTGCACACATTATGCTATATGTGTCTACATATACAAATATATGTATACATATGCATATATATATATACTTATATGTACATCTACATATGTCCCTGCACACCCCATGCTCCTGCTGGTGTCGCCGGACAGGGGTGCAGTCTGGATGGATGTCGTGTTGGAGACGGAGGCTTCGGCATGGAGAAATGGCGCGTTGGAGACGGAAGATGTGGAATACTTAGGCGTTGCGCTGGAGACGGAAGCTGCTGAGTGGCGGGGTGGTCCGAAAATATCCCCAGGGAGGATGCTGTCGAGTCTTGGGTGGTGCGCTGGAGACGGAGTCTGCGGAGCGCTTAGAGCTTGTGGTGAGAACGGAGGCTTGGGGAGTAGCGGGGCGGGTGGGGGTGGGTGTCATTCCCCCCCGGGGATGGTGTTGCCGAGTACTGGGCGGCGCGTTGCACACGGAGGCTCCGAAGACTGTGGGGCTTGTGCTGGAAACGGAAGCAGTAGTGGCGAGAGCACGCGGCGCCGCTGGGCGCGCGCGCCCACGCCTTACTCGGAAGGAGGCCATCAGAAGGAGGAGGAGAAGGGAGCAGAGGGAGGGAGAAGAGGAAGAAAACCGCACGGCTCGGGCATGGGCCGAGGCGTGAGGACAAAAGACGCCCAGAAAAACCCAACACAGTTTTGCCAAGATGTGGTGAACGACTTCTTCCCTGCGGACTTACGCACAGGGTGCCGAAAACAAGAGCGCACAAAGGCCCGCAAAAATGGCCGGCAGGGGGCCCGACGACCGCCCGCCCAGAGATGAAACGCACACGAGCCCAAACAGTGCGCTGTGGGAGGCGAGAGAGGAGGAGGAAGAGGAGGAGAACGAGGAGAAAGAGGAGGAGGAGGAGGAGGAGGAGGAGGAGAAGGAGGAGGAGGATGAGGACAAGGAGGAGGAGGAGGAGAAGGAGGAGAAGGAGAGGAGAGGAGGAGGGGGAGGGGAGGAAGGCGAGGAGGAGGAGCAGCAGGAGGAGGAGGACGAGGAGGGGAAGGAGGAGGAGGAGGAGGCTCCTGAGACTCCTGAGACTACCTCCCGCCCGCTCGGCACGTCGGCCGCAGACAACGGCGCCAGGGCGGGGCTGTCACCCGGCCGTCCACCCAGCGCCCCACGAGGCCCAGACGACCCCAGCAAAACCAGCCAGGCCAGGGAGGCCCAGCACCCGACCGGAGGCCCACAGGGCCCCCCCAGGCCTAGGTGGACGACCCGAGAGGAGGAGGAGCAGGGGGAGGAGGAAGAGGAGGAGGAGGAGGAGGAGGAGGAGGAGGAGGAGGATCGGAGGAGGCGAAGGAGGACGAGGAGAAGGAGGACGAGGGAGAGGGGTGGATAAGGAGGAGGAAAGAGGGGGTGGGGGGGAGGGGGGGGGGGGGGGGGAGGAGGAAACCGGGGGCAGGGAGAGGAGGCCGACAAAAAGGGAAAGGGCGGGGAAGGAACGCCTCCAGAGTCTAGAGGGCTGCTCTCGCGGCCGGCAGTCTCCGCTGCGTCAGGGTGCCCGCGGGCGGCGCGCACGGGCGACCCCGGACCAGAGCCCAGGAGGCATCCCCACCTCCCTCCCTCCTCCCTCACCCCCTCCCCACCTCCCTCCCCCTCCCTACCTCTCTCCCTCTCCCCCCTCCCTCTCCCTTCCTCTCCCCTCTCCTCTCCCTCTTCCTCTCCCTCTCCCTCCTCTCCTCTCTCCCCTCCTACCTCCTTCCTTCATCCCCCTCCTCCTCCCCTCCTCCTCCTCCTCTCCTCCTCCTCCTCCCTCCTCCTCCTCCTCCCCTTGCCCTCGCAAAAGGCCCCCCACTGGCCAGCCCCTCTGCGGCCACGGGCCCACACGCCAAGCTCATGCGCGCCGTGCGCTGGGCGATCTCAGCGCCAAGGGTGCGCAGGAATTGGCGCAGCACGACCTTCTGAGACGCGGCCCGCGCCGCCTGACGACCTCATCCTCATCCTCGTGATCCTCATCACCATCTCCATCACCATCACAATCGCCATCACCACCACCACCCTCATCATCATCAGCATCATCATCATCATCATCATCATCCTCATCATCATCATCATC